TCAGCAGGGTGAAAAAGGGTGGAACAGGAAAGGGAGGAAAGCAAGTTCCTGGACTCCAAAACCACAATTGGTCTAGGTGCTACTTTCCCCCTTATTTAGCACATAGCTTTGTGAGGAGACACCCTTGGCTGACCTCTTTTCTTTTTGCATTTTGTCCCGTATTAAAATGTGACCATCCAAAACTTTTCTCCATGAATTAGAAATTTTAAGTTGTTAGGGACTGAATGTGCCTGTTTTCCAACTGCTGCTGGCAGTTCCCTGCTTTTATGGTGTAGCCATGGTGAAACCCGAGTCATCTGAACATGGTGACAGCACCAAGCAGCGGGGAAGGAGCTACAGACAAGGCAGGACGCAGGAGCTGGAGCTCAGCAATTGCTGGGCACCCTGGGCCACTGGTCTTCCTAAGGATAGGAGAGCCACCCGAATCTAACGTGTTTACACAAATTGCTCCAGGCTTCACGGTGCTAATGAATACCTTCTGTAGCAGAAGTGCTAGGCGATAGCCCACAGTATAAAGCGTCTCCCCCGACAGTTGCTTCTCAGAGTTCTGAGGAGCAACACCTAACTTCCGCATGTGCCAGAATTTTCTTCCTCTTCTTTTTTTTGCGGTACGCGGGCCTCTCACTGTTGCGGCCTCTCCCGTTGCGGAGCACAGGCTCCGGACGCGCAGGCTCAGCGGCCATGGCTCACGGGTCCAGCCGCTCCGCGACATGTGGGATCTTCCCGGACCGGGGCACGAACCCGTGTGCCCTGCATCGGCAGGCGGACTCTCAACCACTGCGCCACCATTCCCTTTCTTTTTTTAAACGGAGAAACCACATTTTTCCTGGAGAGGCAAACGATATACGTGAGTTTTTGTTTCAAGGGAAAGAAGTTTTTCTCTTGTGCCTATTCATTCGTATATATTGAACAGCTACCAGAAAATACACCCCTGTTTGGCGTGTGTGTGTGCGTGTTTGCCGTTTCTCTAAAATTATGACTCATCGTCTGGACGACAATGACTGATTTTTTCCCACCTCACAAGGTTGCTATGAACGTCTCCGTACAAGGATGGGCCTGTTCACGCACCCCGGGCACGGGCGGTGCAGCGCTAGCATAAACAGCCCAAGGAGCCGGGTGGCCAGGGCAGCAGGGCTGCCGCCCGGGGTTTGCGGTGCGGCCCGGGGCGCCGAGCAGCGCCATTGCGATGCGGCGGGAGGGGTGGAGCCGCCGCGTCCCGGCTCAATGTAGAGCCCTCGCTCCGCTCGCAGGCGCGCCCAGTGCAAACTGCTAAGCCTGGAGTCGGGGAGATCCGGGAGGAGGTGGAAGGCCACACCCCGCGCTCCCCGCGAATTTCCTCCGGAGCCCGCGGTCGCCGGGCCGGGGGGCGGCCCCGCCCCCCGCCTCTTCTGCGTGTGGAGCGCGGCGCTGGCCGCCGCCCCCGGGTAGGAGCGCGGGACAGCGGGCGCGGGGCGGCGGGCGCGGGGCGGTGGCGATCCCCAGCCGGACCCCGGCCTGGAGATTTGATCATGCATCGCTTCCCCTCGGTTCTTCGCGGGACAGTTGCTCTCTCTACCCGCGAGGTTGTTTAAGCGTCTCTGGCCGTAACTGCTTTCTAAAGACAGCATTTTATTTTTAGGCCACGTTGCCTCTGCGTTCTTCTCAACTTTTAGCTCCCAAATAATGTGCCTCCTTCTTTTAAAAACATATATATATATATATATATATATATATATTTTTTTTTTTTTTT